ATCTTGAGCTCATTCACCCTCTTCTCCACAAAATACTTCCTCTTAACTATTCTTTGATAAACACTTCGATTGTATTGTAGTATTTGCTTGCCATTGAGACATGGAAGAACAATTTTTTTCTCTTATAGATGTGTTGCATTTCAAGAGTTTTTTGTCAAACGAACATGGTAGATTAATAAAAGACCGTGAATTTTGATCATAATGAACACATGAAAATATTACTTATATGAGTTTAATTGATTTGTAATGCACATACTACTATGTGAATATGATATGGACAAAAGAGAATTGATAAAGTTTTGAGATTTTACGAGGTAAGATGCTCAAGTAATATTTAAATAAGATCACATGACTGAAAAATGACCAACCAAACTTCCAAGGTACGATGAAAGAAGTTCGGAGAATTGAAAGATTCAATCGGACGTCGTAAGTGGCTTTTGGATGGAGCTAGGCGTACGTCTGATTGATGAGAACACATCAGACAATTGACAAATAAAGGATTTAAGATGTCTATTAGCAGAAGATCAGGTCTCTCATTGAAGAAGCTTTATTATTTGTTTGGGAAGACCAATTTTCAGATTGAGGTTAAGGGGTTTCAAACGTCCAATGGTGATGAATCGAATATCTGCAACAATGCTGTTGGGCCGGATCCTGGCCCATTTATTCTGCTCCCAGCATTTTGGATGTTAACGTGTTTATAAAACACGCTTCTCATAAATTGGCTAGCACTTTCACTTGGATTGCTGACACGTGGCTTACTGTGGCCGTTGGATGCTGTGACTATTGGTATACTTGGACTTGAGATATTTCTGGTTCTTCAGTCGATTGAATTTCGAGAGACTTCTAGGGTTTTCTTCTCTCTGAGAGAAAACGTGAGGACGAGATAGGGTTTGATTCTTGATGCATGTTTTCACTCTAAATCTATGATTTAGAGTATTGTAATAGCTAAATCTACCTTCGATTGTAATATTCTATGTGAATATTGAGAGGTTGTATTTGATTCCTCTGTTGTAATACTGTGTGTATGTTCGAAGGGGTTCTTGGTGATTATGAGTGANATCTTGAGCTCATTCACCCTCTTCTTAGAGCTCCACAAAGTACTTCCTCTTAACTATTCTTTGATAAGCACTTCGATTGTATTGTAGTATTTGCTTGCCATTGAGACATGGAAGAACAATTTTTTTCTCTTGTAATGTGGCTTTCTCTAGTGAGATGTGTTGCATTTCAAGAGTTTTTCGTCAAATGAACATGGTAGATTAATAAAAGACCGTGAATTTTGATCATAATGAACACATGAAAATATTACATATGTGAGTTTAATTGATTTGTAATGCACATACTACTTGGTGCAATATGTTATGGACAAAAGAGAATTGATAAAATTTTGAGATTTTACAAGGTAAGATGCTCAAGTAATATTTAAATAAGATCACATGACTGAAAAATGACCAACCAAACTTCCAAGGTAAGATGAAAGAAGTTCGGACAATTGAAAGATTCAATCGGACGTCGTAAGTGGCTTTTGGATGGAGCTAGGCGTACGTCTGATTGATGAGAACACGTCAGACAGTTGACAAATAAAGGACTTCAGATGTCTATTAGCAGAAGATCAGGTCTCTCATTGAAGAAGCTTTATTATCTGTTTGGGAAGACCAATTTTCAGATTGAGGTTCAGCGGTTTCAAACATCCAATGGTGATGAATCGGACATCTGCAACAATGCTACCATCATCCACCACATTCTCCATTAAAAGTTCGCATCATAGCCAGGTTTCCTCTACCATAGTCATTGTCATCTGCCAAGAGACCTCTCTCCACTTAAACCACTCCCACCACCCAAAAGTACTGTAATTCCCAAATTCTGAAATATAATCACTGTCACCTTTTGCCATCTTTTATTCAGCAAAAAATGGTTGTACTTGAGCAAAGCTCATTTACTCCTGTTCTCATCTTTATTCTATATCTATCAGATGGAATCTCCTTACAATCATTTATCTTTCCAGAGTTAGCACATAGTTTAAGATTTTGGAGTTAATTTGTTGTGGATAGGTTTTTAAGAAACACATGGAAATTGTTATTTTCCTGACTTATGGTTTGGAGTTTTAGAGTTGATGGCTGCTCAACCGAGTCTAGTAATGGTGGCAATGAGGGTGGCAGGATGGAGATCCAAGAGATAGAGTTGTTATTTTGGCCTCCTTGTTGGTTTGGTCACAAGGGATGGTAGGAAGAAGAAAAGTTACCCCGCTGCTTTTGTTGATTGTGGGATTGGGCATCTCACTTGAATTTTTTGGTTGTGAGTCGTGAGATGGAAATGCAAGTTGTGACCATGGTAAAAAAAATGGGTTTTGCTTCAGTAGTGTGGTAGTGGTCTTGTGCACCTGGGAGGAGAGGGGCAGAAAAAAGGAAGAAAGAAGGTTAAATCCTCTTCAATGTCAAGAAATGTGAAGTTTTTGGACGAAATGATTTAGCCAAATCTGCTTGGGAGTTGGGGCTGACATAATTGTATTTTAAAAAAAAAATAATTCAGGAGTATAACTGTCAAATGCAGATTCTAGTTCTAATTCATTCTGAATCTAATTCAAACTGTGTCAAACTCTGATTCTGATTTTGGTAATGAAGCAAAATCCAATTTATGGTTAAATTCAGAGGTATTCACATTTGGAATGATGAATATCTCTTTCATCCCAATATGTAGACAAAAGTAGTCACCACATTAAATCATTTATCAGAGTGATATGTTGTTGAGAGGTAACGTGAGAAGGAAATAAAATGTTGTGTTCGACAATGTTGGGTAAGGATTCTTTATTTGCTGAACACATTCTAGGTTTTAGATCAAAGCTTGTTTGGGTTTTATGGGAAATGATTATTTCAAGTGTTCTTTTGCGAGTTTGTTTGTGACCTCATTTTAATAGTTAAACAGCTTTCTTATATGGTTTTTTTCCCCTTTAAAGTATTTCACCATATTTAAACTGATAGTGTGAAATTATCTTCTTCTCTAAGAGTCATTATACAATAGACTTCTCATTGATCTCTAATCTGCCAATCTGCCCTGTCGTGATAAGGATTCAAAGGGTGTAAATTTGACTAGATCAAAATCACATGTTTACTTGGAATGCTGCTGATATCTATTTCCAATCACCTCGTAATATTGATGCGGCATTTTGCAGTNTGCCCTGTCGTGATAAGGTTTCAAAGGGTGTAAATTTGACTTGATCAAAATCACATGTTTACTTGGAATGCTGCAGATATCTATTTCCAATCACCTCGTAATATTGATGCGGCATTTTGAAGTGTGATAATTTGACTTGATCAATCGAGCTATTACTGTTCTTGAAGTTGATAGTTGACTTTTGAGAAATAAGTGACTTTAATGACTCGTGCTAATCAAATATTATTTGTCTTCTAATTGAAGCTCTCGTTATGTTCTACCAAGCATCGTGATATGATATGATAGACTTTGAGAATGTTATCTAAAGCGACCTATCTTAAGGTGTAACTTCGACTTGATTGATCATACGTTCATTTGGAATGCTACCAAGGTATCAGTTGTTGAGCACCTGATAGTATTTTCGGAAATGTTTATTCTTCTAGTTGAATCCCACATCATCAACAAAATTCAACTATGTTGGAAGGGACATTTGTTCCCTGTGGAGTTCTTGGAATGTTAAATGGGTTGCTTTGTCATCTTCTTTCAGTATGTATGTGTTTGTGGAATATTGTGGCCTAACTTCTTGCTAGATAATCAATCCATTATGTAGTCAATGGCCAAATTATCCATGTATTAATTGTTTTCTAATCAACACAAAATTCCACTAATCGGCCGCGTCTGGCTAAGATTATTGCTTGTCGTTTTCAAGATGCTCGCGAAATTGATGATTGAATGATACATGGGAGTATTGCAATAGATAAAGCATGCACTTGACTTCAAATTTCTTGAAATAAAGCTTAGAATATATCTAAGGCCCCGTTTGATAGCCATGCTTTTTCAATTTTCCAACTTTTGCACCTGTCTGATAGCAAAATTT